TAATTGTTTCGAAATAATTGCATGGAAATTTTTTTTAACAAAATTTTTAAATTTATGTAAACGCCAGGTGTACATTCCACTATAACCCACGAATTAAAGTTTTATTTAGACAGAAACACGGCGGCAATTTGTATTCAATGTGAATCACTTTTGTACAAAAGATACTCGAGTAGTCTTTACTTATGTCATTGCTAAGTAGGTTGGCTGCGATGTGTCTTAACACGAGTGACAATAATCCGTACCACGTGAATATATGTTTTACACTTTACACTAGCCGCTGTACGTGCTTAAGAATAATTTTCGAAAAACACATCATATTTATTATTTGTTATCCCGCCGAATGAATTCACAAATATTTTACTCAAAATTAAATTTCGTAATCACTAATATAACTTATTTCACATTCTGTAAATATCAATCAATGTCACTCTCCACCCGAGGATAATTTTTATATAATCGCTGAAAAACCTTTTGGTATAGAAATTAATATAATTAAACCAATTCATTCAACCAAATTATAGAGCTTTTTTCCAAAAAATAATGACTTTGTGCATCTCGAAGCCATTCTAACTTGTTTTTTTACATTAATTTAAAGTATCATTTTATATAATTGATCAAGTATCCTCATTGAGTTCCATTTTTTAAAATTAAATCTAGTTGCAATTTCTATCGATTGTAATATTTAAAAATTTTGAGAAATGGCAGCAGTAATATACTTTTGGACTATACTTGAAATTGACGTTTCTTATGTTAAAAAAGCACGTTCTTTTGAACAAAAAAAAAAAAAAAAAAAACAACGTTTGAAAGTATATAATAATATGAAGTGTGTTAAATATTTTAATTTTTTTGTAATTAACTGCAGATTTTTAAGAATTAGACATAATTAACATAATTTTAAAGAGTTAAACCATCTTTAAAAAAGCAGAAAAATTCTTGAACTAAGAAATTGTTTTTACTTTAAGAAAATTTTACTTGATTCGAAAATTTTTCAAAATAATTCAAAATTTGAATCTTAGATCAAACCCAATTTTTTTTATTAATGAACAAAACTTTTCTTTTTTCAATTGTATTATTATATAATTCTTATTTTATACTAAATGCTATCAATTATAATTATGTTATTTGGCTACATGCGCCACTTAGAATTACACATTGTAACTTTTTGTAACCTTACAATTGGCCCTGCAGGGCTGTTAGGTTTATATCAATAAAGAAATAATAATAATAATAATAATAATAATAATAATAATAATAATAATAATAATAATAATAATGCAAAAAAGCTCTATCATTGATATTGAAGTTTTTTCTTTCATTAAAAATTTGCGTAAAAACATAAAATTAAAAAAACGATGTTTTTTCAATGAAAAACTTCACTTAACATCTGATTTGACTATTTCTGTTATAAAAAGTATTTTAAGATTGACTAAACTTTTGAATGAATTAAATTAAAAATCATATAGGTTGGCCATTAGTCAGACTGTCGTAAGCAAGGTAGCAGCGGGTCGATTCACATCAGAGATATCATCTCAATGTGAACCTCCAGATCGTAAACCCACCCCCGCAAGCTCTCCTACAGCTTATAGCTCATAGCTTGTAACACCAATAATAAATACCAATAGAAATGCTAATAAATCCGTATGTCACCTACAAACGCTAGACAGAACAATACGGCATAACTCAGCATGTATGTGCAATTCCAGCAAGTTTAGCTGGTATACGGCCCTGTCCCTCGTCCTTCGATTTGTCTTGTAACCGTGTGGTGGTTTCACTTTGAATAGTACTCGTGCCAGTGCGCGAACACTCGAGCTCTTTATGTACTAGTGTTTCTATTAGTATTAGTATTGGTATCAGTGGTAATATCAGTAGCAGTAGCAGTTGCTGTAATATCGGTAGTAGTTTTAGTTTTAGTTGTTGTAGTTGTGAGTATGAGATGTCGGTGGTAGTTACATTGCGGCATGGTGGAGGTGGAGGGCACCCCGATTGGTTGCTCGGGGGTTGCATAATGCAGCGACCACCGAGTTCGTATAGTCAGGCTGGCTGCCAGGGCGTTGACTTTGCTTCGCTTTGCTTCGCTTTGCTCAACCGATATACTACTAAACCGATGCGATTTGACTCTGCGCGAGTAGAGCAATACTATCATTCTAACTTTGATATTTTATATTTTTGTAATAAAATAACAATAGAAATAATTATTTAATTTTTAAAGATAATTTATTTATTAATTTAATTTAAAATTTAATAATTAACGTACAAATTAGTTTCATTGAAAATTTTTTATAAAATTAGTTTGTGTCTTAAGAAATATCAAAGTATAACATTTCTTTAAATAGTATATTGTTCAAAATTCTTACTCTGTTAATTTTGAAAATTTTAATGCAACAAGAAGCTCTAAAGATTAAAACTTCATTTTTAAATAGAATATTAAATTAAGAAATTATTTTATAAAATTAATCTTAATATCAAAAGTATTATTGGAACAATTTTTAATTATAAGTCAGAATTTTAAAATTTATTAATGTAAAAATTTTTTTACATTAAAACTTTTCAATATATGAAGAAAAATAAGAATTTAAATGTTAATATATTGTTTTAAATCAAAACGAAAATTTTTTAAATCAAATAGAACTTATTTATCAAATCAAGGAAATTTTCTCAGCTCATGATTTTTTCTAGATGAATCAAGATGAAGTTCTTCAAATTTATTATCTTCGTTGAAAAATTTTTCTCTTAAGTCAAATCAATTTTTTTTTCAGTGTATAATTAACCAAAAATTACAAAAAAAAAATAGATTTAATGTCAACAATTATAAGAAAAAAAAAAAAATTATATTCATCTCATAAACAAGTCGATAAAAATCAATACTCTCGAGCCTTTATTCAGTAAACTGAAGTTACTTGGCATAAGAAATAGTTCCGATGAATCGCCAAGAATTGATGAGTTGTTAATCGATTAGAGGGTTTAATATGTTTAGTAGATGGGCTCATTGTTAACCTCGTTGAAGAAAAGAGGGGTGGTGAAGTCGAGTATAGCGCAGGGAGAGCGATAGTCATTGTGAATCGAGGATCAATCTAAGGAAATGAAATGAAATGAGAAAGGGAATAGAATCAGGAGAGGAATTAAATATAAGGGTCTTTTCTGAGTTGTGATAGCGACATTGGAATAGGGACGTAGGCAAGGTAGACTTGGATGACCTCCTACTCTCTTGCCACCCTCTTTCGTCTCTCCGTTCCGGGGTCTTCTCGGGGGTTCATCGATCGCCCCCAATCACCCACCTCTGCCATCTTGCAACCCTGTCATTTTAAAGCTCTGACAATTCGCATACTCAATTAAAGTCGATTGGATGGATGACAGTCGATTGTTGATGCCACGCATGTTATTTTCGGTCAGCTGCTCACTGGCTCCTGTCATAGTAGTTGCTGGATCCAGAAGCTGCCTATCGAGGTTGTTCCGATGCTGATGCTGATCAGGATCTAGATGAGATTAGATTGAATAGTCTCGTTTTAGTTAAGCAAAGGGTACATGCATTTTCTAGGTCGCATGACGCAGCAGGGAAGGTCAGGATTGGTTCAAGTCCAACGAGCCGATTCTATAATTAGAGAATTTCCGTTCCGTGGCAGCCACACCACAACTGGGGTCTAGAGTCAGTGCCAAGTTTCCGATCCCTTCTCATTTCTTATTAGTGCTCGCTCGTATTGTCCAACTTACATGTAATTGACAATTTACTTTTATTGCTGTGCTGCTTTCTCCCTCGCTAGTACCAAATTATTTATCGGCTATATGCTCCGGTTCTTAATAATAATAATTGCGTAAAAGTGAGGGAACAAGAAAACAAGCTTTAAATTTTCTGTTTACTCAAATTTTTTATTATAGTTCAGTTGTATAAAAATACTTAGTGTTGGTAAATATATCAGAGCAAGATATCATTTTAATAATTATTCAATTATTTACTTCTGTAATATATTGTAACTTAATTTTTTTTTTATTGTAAGTGTTCAAATATTCAAGCAACTTTTTCAGTTTTATTTATATAAAAAATATTTATTACTCAAGATATCGCTACCTTTTTAATAACAAATAAAAAACCTTTTGATAAAATCAAAATTAAAAAAAAAGTAACGATTCCTTTTAAAAACATGCTAACACGGAGAAAAATTATTTATATTGAAAAAATTTATAAAAAGTTTAGAAAATCCAAAAGTGCACGCCTCATAACGCTCGTTCATTTTTTAAGAAAAAAATAAATTGTGTTATTGGTTAAAAAAAAAAAAAAATAATAATTAAGTAATTTCTTACAGAGTATTTTTAATTTTTTTTTAATATCGGCGCTTGTTTTTCTTGTCATATGCACACGCAGTCTAAATAAATCTTGTTTGATCAATTGGCGCCATAGTTTTCACGTGAGAGAAATAAGAAAAATTCGTTTGTTTTTGTACATGTGTATCGTAGTAAATTTTAATAAAAATTGAATTTAAAAAAAAATACGTAAACTAAGCTACTGATATGAAATACGGCACCAATCAATTTGTTCAGGAGTAATCGTTATTAAATATAAAATAAGGGTGACATCATCAGGACGTCCATTTAAAATTTTTTTCGAAATGTTTTTGTTTTTCAAAATAGCAACATTAAATGATCTTAGAAAGTATAAGATGGCTATGAGGTGTGCAATAATATTTAAAATTTAACTATGGAAATTTATGATAAAATTAACTATTTATTTTTTTCCGTGTATCAGTAATAAATGAATGTATGTGAAGCATAATAACATAAGCATATGAAAAATTAAATACCTTCTTGATAATTAAAAATAAAATAATGATAAATAAATAATATGCTGGAAAAAATAAAAGTTAAGTCTAAAACAATAATATCTAATATTGTTCCTGTTACTCACCATTTAAAAAAAAAATATGATGTTAACTGTCTAAATTGAGTTTAAGTGATTACTGATTACAATTACAAACTAGATTTTAAATAAATGAGTAATTATAGTAGCTTACAACATTAAGTACAAAATAGGTAAAATGTAAAAAATGAAAATTTAAGCGAATAATAATATTCACCAAAAATCTTCTATCATCCAAATCCATAACAGATGCCCCAAAGGTGGGCAGTGATAATTTAATGTGATCATTGGTAATGTTCTCAATAATGGATGCAATATCTTTGGATTTAATAGTCAAGTCGTAGTTAGTGGTGGACGACGTCTGGATTTTCTGCTCAAGAGACGAAAAAAAACAGAGAGACGGATTTGTACAAAGATACTTGTAACAGACGAATAATAATTGTACCTTTAATTATTATCAGTTATTAGTATTAATAATAATACACAATACATTGTGATAATGCTATCTGAATTTCAGTATGTTTAATAAATTATTATTGAATAATTATAATAAAAAAAAAAAATAATGAAAAATAGCACTACCCACTTGTACTTGCCCGTTTATTGCAACAACAATAAGTTGTAATATATAGATTTATTTGTATATATTTTTCATGTAAGTGTGCACGTGAATAAATTAATAAAGAAAGTGATATTACCTCAGCAAGGAGGGCACAGATCTCGCCCTCGATAATCTTCGATTTAATCAATACTTCTTCGGTAAATTTATCTGTTATTATATTAGTCATTGACCCGGATAATTGACGGTACGAGTCGTCAAATATATTTATGTTAACAGGGCCACGAACAACGCGATGTTGACCTACAATAAAATCAATTTTTTTCGTCCAAGGGTTGATAAATGCTGACCACTCGGTCTCCAATAACACATATTCTCCGTTTTTAATAATAAATCTGTATGGTTTCGACTTGAACGCCGCTCCAGAGTTTCTAATAATCTGTTGAATTAAAATATTAACAAAAATTATTGCAATTGGTGAGGTCATCTATTTTTATGACCATTTAATTTTTTTTGTTATTCTGTTTAGATCATTTTTTTTTTTTTTTTAAATAGATTTTTATAGTTTGGTGTACAACAAATCGCATGCTCACAGTCTTGTAGATCTCTTTGATAATGGGCATATCCTCGGGATGGTAGTAATCACATATTGATTGGCTCAGCATGTCTTGAGGTAAATAACCGAAATAATAAAGCACCTCATCGTCGACGTGAGACAGGCGGCAGTTAGTATTATGCCGAGTTGTAAATGAGCTTGCGAATGAGGCTATTGTTTTATCTGCTGCTAAGAAAAATCTTTCTTTATAAAGACATATCTAGTTTTATCATTTTTATTTATTTTGAATAATTAACGTTATATTTTTAATTTTTATCGTATATTGAGGACCCGGTATTAAATACCTCCAAAGCTTTTAAGCTTTTTAAAGAGACTGATACCTTGGAAAACAATTAAAAATTTTATAGAAATATATTTTATTGTTACGATTACTCAGAAAAAAAATTTTTTTGTTTTTTTTATTGAAACTTATTAGCGTAAAAATAGAAATTTAAAAGTATGACGCGTTTTCAAAGAGACTGAATATTACGTAGAAAAAATACAATAAGAAGTAATAGTATTAATTATTTTATATTAAAGAAGTTTTTCTCAAATTATTTTGATAAATTAAAATTAATTGAGCTTCTAAGTGATGTTTATTTTACGAAAAAAAAATTGTAAAGTTGAAAGTCGGTTTTTTTTTTAATTTTTTTTCACGATAAATGCATTTCAGAAACTAAAAAAGATAGACAATTTTAGAAAATATTTATATTTTTTTTTTAAGAAAAAATATAGGTACGTGTTGCCTATAATTTTTTGGTCCTCTTTAAAAATTTTTCTAGACAATCTCCATGAATTAATATCCCTAAAAAAAAAAAAATTATAATATAATATTATATTGATATAAAAAAGCAATAAAACAAAAAATGCTAATTCTTAAGTTTTCAATAACAACATTTAAAAATTTTAATACATATATAATTTACCTGGTAAAACGAAAAAAAAATTTTTTTTCGTGAATGCACTTACTTAAATTAAATGTTTAACCGAAGTAATTAACCTGAAAAAAAGTATAATACTGTTTTTCCGAAAATTTAAATATGTAGTTTTAATATTTAACTCACATAACTTACCTGAATAAAGAGAAAAATAATTTTCTGTTATTAACATTATTTTTAAAATAATATCGTTTTTTTTTTTTTTTTTTAAATACCTTTTTTTTATTATTTATATATGAACTTGGAAAATTTTAAATCTCAAATTTTTTTAAGTATTTTTGACCTAAGTCTTAGGCAAGCTTTTCATGTAAGACCATGCCTATAATTTATCCAAAATATTATTCAGAGTATTTAATTCAAATTTTTCTGATACGAAATTTTATAAACGTTCGTAAAAAATAGTTAAAACAAAATTTTTCGATTTGTAATTAGGCAACACATACTAAAAAACTTTTTATGAACTTTTTGAGCTCACAAACGAGTCTCTATCTTTTTTAGTTTTTGAGATAAATTTAAAAAATACTCTAAATTTTACGAGAACGTGTACTCGATTTCGACCGTTTCCAAGTAATCGGTCCCCTTAAATATTAGTATTTTTTTTAATTTTTGTTTATTTGCTACAGAAGATAAATGGCTGAATAAATTTCCAAAAATAGTGTCTTATTAACAAAATCAGTTGGAAAATTTCTTATACATAATAAATTTTAATTAAAACCTTGAAAATAAAATAATTTTACTGCGTTTCTAAAAGCTTCCATAATACAAAATTAATCTTTAAGCTAAAAATAATAAAAATAAAAAAATGAAACCGCTGAATTCCATAGTGATGTTGCTTATTGAAGGTCCGGCTCCCAGAATCACCTAAAAGTTGCTAAACAAACTTTTTTATCGCAGATATGTGCGCTACATTTATTAAATATTAAAATTATAAAAATTAAATATGCATGCAAAATAATTTTAAATCAAATATTTTTTCAAAGACATAATTAAAGAAAGTAAATTCATTTTCAGACTTTTGCAATTTTCATGAAAACAAACAACTCCAAAGTAAATTAACAACAAAAAATAATTTCAAAATTAAAGTTTAAATTAATTGTTAAAATTTGATAAGTTTAATTTTGAGATTATAATTTCGAGTTTTTCATGTAATACCTTAAAATTGTGCCATTTATCTTATTTAGAAAAATTAAATTTAATTTAGTACCTAGTATTAAAATAAAATTTTGTATACCTCCATAAGCAGAAACAACTGGCACTGATTTAATGGTCAAAGACATCAAAGTTGGATGTGTACTGTCTGGTAATTCAGAATGATTTTTATTAAGCCTCAAACTCATATAAAATGGTAAATAAGTTGGTATTGAAGTTGGATGATTATTATTGTTTATTGCTTCGGAAAATTTATTGGATGAATTATTTTTTAAATTTGAGGCGTCAACGGGCTGAACATTGTTTGTATAACATCGCAAATAACAAAAGAAACTTATTTCTTGTTCTTTAACATCTAAGAAAAAATTAAAAATTAAATGTTTATGTATAACACATAATTTATAATTTTCTCTTGTTCAAGTATTTGTTTATTATTATCAAACACATACTTTCTTTGCGAATATCTGAAGAAGACAAAAAAACTCTCTCAGCGACTTTCTCTGTAAGCAACCCTCGGTTATTCGGATGGACTAGGTCTATCAAGAAAGAATTAATACAGCTGCCTTTCGGATAGCCAAGCACTTTCTGCAAAGAAGCTGATGAATAGAGTATGATTCCGTCAATCAATGACACAACCATGTAAAACCCATCCTTTTTGGAAAAATATAAAAAACTATTATTAGTATTTGTGTTTAATCATTATCTAACCAATTTTTGGTGATCGTTTACTTAATTTAATTCCATTCTTTATTCTTATAATTTTTTTTTTATCGAGAGGATAACTAGTTTGCATGTTTTGGAAACAACTTAAATTTTTTTTATCTATTATTCGAAATAGTCTTAAAGAGTCATTTGTTCAACTTGTGCATTATTATGCTGTTAAAATTGTATACTTGTGTCATCGAGCTAATGAACCTGAAGAAATCTCTTTGAATTGCTTCAAAGGGATAAAATTAATGACAACAAAAGGACTCTAAAAATAACAAAGATATAATTAATGATTGTTAAAAATATAACATTCTATTACGGATTAATAGATTTTATTACAGGCTCGTGTATAGGCTCAATTATATGACGACGGGACGTTATATCATTCAGAAATACATTAATATAATCATAACTTGGTACGTTACATCATTTAATACACATATATACACGAATATATACTTTTTGTAGGGTCAATCGCGAAAGTTTGATTTTCGGGTGACGTTTTTGTTGGTAAAAATAAATTATATTATTAGAGTTTATTTAGTTTATTTTGTTCAAATTCGTATGAAAATGTAACTTTTCTGTTTCTATATTCTTGCACGTTTATTTAAAAACACGACAGACTTCTTATTACTTCTAAAAAAAAAAATCTATAAATTGTTATGAAAAAAAAAAAACTTTGCAATGAATCTATTGTTAAAATCAACAATATGGAGCTAATTACGATTTCTATTAATAAACTCATTAATATGTTATATTATGGTATAAATTATTTTCATTTAAAATGTAATAGTTATTAAGCCTCAATTATATATTCTTATGTTATAAACGTTATAAAATTTTCTTCTCTAAAAATAAATCAATGAAATGTTCAATTTATTGAAACAGTAAGGATAGAAATAATATAAAATTTAGTAGTTTTTAAATTATTTGAATAATTTAAAGTAAATCTACTAAAAATTTAGTAAGCTTATAAATAAGACTTGTTTTCAAAACAAGCAAACTTTTTTTGTCTTCTCGGCAAAATAAAAAAATTTCAATATCAAAATAAGTACAAACTAATTTTATGAGAACTGAAATGCACACATTAAAAAACGCTGCCTAATAAAGAACACTGTGTAATAAAATAATAAACAAATAGACGCATCACAAAGACGTCAAGACTTATATGAGTGATTTTTAAAAACCGTGACGTGCCTCGTCGCCAACATTTGTAATTATTAATTGATAATAAACTTATTGAATTAACTATACAAGCATGTGTGTATTGTGTTTAGTTGTACACTGGGAAACAGTGGGACAGCTTTATGATAATAGATACTAACATTTAAATTTGGGCCGATATTGTCCAAAGAGTTTATATGAGAACCAATTTCTCTCTCAGGTATGATGAGCTTTGAGTCGCCTTTGGGCTCACCAAGATCAGTAGCATCCATCAACTCTACATTACCTACGTCTTCTTGTAGTCAATCAATCAAAAAAATATACGTTATGTTTCGTTTGTTAGGGGCTATCAGGCCTACTGGATATAAGAGTAAGAATGGATTCACCATCTCAAATTTCTATCGTGATTTAATTGACTGCTCTTTTTTTTAACTCAATTGAATAAATAGACGAGATAGTTTTAAAAATTTTTAATTAATGGAATAATCAAGATGTCATACCAAAATTTGAGGTCACTCAAATTTTAAGAACAATATTATAAATAATTAAATGGCCAATAATAGCAAAAAATAAATTTATCAATTTTGACTTACTAGCCACATATTTCACGTAATCATACAAGTGTTTACATTGTCTATGTATTTAAGGACAGTAAACATTACTTATTATGCTATACGTCGCGAATCTTCAAAAATTTGTATTTTTTAGATAGCTTAATTTTCCAACAGTTAATCTAATCAAATTTGATCATTCAGTCGTAGTGTTTGGCAGTTCAGAGGTGCAGTAATATTAAATTATTATAAACGTTTACATGATTATTAGAGTAAACTGATAATATTGTAAAAATATAAAAGATTAAATGACAAAAATAAATTCGCGTTACTCTCTGTCACAGCGGCACCTTATATCACAAATTATACTAATCTTTGTAAAAAAAAAAAAACCACCAACCTGATTTCTCAAGCTTCTGGTCCAGTGCATTGGAAACCACTGTGTAAAGTCCATTTTTGGTTTGTTGGCTCGCAGATTTAACAGGAGTTGTAGTCTTTGACTTTTTCTTTTTGTAATCTTTGACTTTTTTCTTATTGATTGGCTGCGGGCAAGCTTCATTGCTGTAATAATTTTAAAAAATTACATGATTTAGAATTTATAAATGTAAATCGATTAATATAATCTTAAATATTTGTATTGGTTGATTTTTTTTTTTTTTTTAGGCATAAATCAACTGATATATTATAAGCCGGTGTCATTTACGACCCACTACAATTTAATAAAATATAAGTCTATTGAATATCAATTTAGTTTTTATCTTCCGAAATTCATTTTAATAAATGAATTATTGATGACTTGGTGCTTTAAAACGTTTATTTTACTTTCAATTCTTCAACATATTGTTATTTTTATACCAAGTCAATGCTCTACACGAGACATGAAATTTTTTTTAAAATTATATTGACAATTTTATAAGTTGACAAACAGTTAGGTTTAAATTTATCTTATTTCTGTCATGATCGATAGCTTCTTTGTTGACTTTAAATTCATAATTTAATAACTTATTTAAGTAACTTGTAGTTTTAAACCAAAGATTGTAGAATTGTAGAATTTTTCAAACTGAAAAATTCAAGTAAATTTTACTTGACTCAAGAATTTATCTGTTTGATTCAAAATAGTAAAATTCTACAAAATAATCTCCTTGGTTCAAAATTTCTTCTCTTTAATCAAGTTAATTTTTTTTTATCAATATTAATCACCTTTCAGATATTATGGTTGCTATTAATTTAGCATAATAATTAACACTTTACAGTTGCATTTTTAATTTATTTTTTTAAATTGTTGAGGGCGTTAAACAAATAAATAGAATAACAAATAAAATCTCTGAACTTATATTAAATTACTCCGTAAACCTGTATCACGTTTAAAACAAATAAATTTTTGCATCATCACGTTGCTTCATGACTAATCCTTTTATAGGAAAAAAAAATTATTTACTAAAATTTTTCTTTGCATTATAATTAAAAATACATCCTTAAGAAAAATAGCAAATTAAATTTATTAAAATTAATGGAAAAAAAATTTTTTTCACAAAAAAAGTGTAAATTTTTAATAAAAATAGCTTTTCTAAAAATTACAGTAAAGATTGCATGACTCGATCACGGATAAATAAAATTCTTACATGAGACACGTTGTTCGCTGTTGTGTGTGAAAAAGGCACGCGGCCGTACACGTGCTCTGACTAACATCATCAATGCTTAATAATGCACATATATATTATTTATGCATGTAATAAAGGCCGTTACTATTTTCTAAGTATAGTAACCTCGTGTTGTACAACAAAAAGTTATCACTATTTTTTTTTTTTTTTGTATCAAACACACTTTTGTAATGACTTGTTTTCTTTACTGATATACTTATTAATTTTCTGTAAAATACTTAGCGTCAAGCGTTACAACAAATTCCCAACATACAGAATCCATCCACTTAATCCAACTACGTTACGTTACACAATCAGTTTACCTAATAATTATTAATCCATTATTGATGATATTTAAATAAATTAACGAAAGCATTGATCGGTCGTATCATTTAAAATTAATTACTATTGTCTAAATTTATATTGATAGAAGTTTGATGGGTCATATAATAATAATGTAATACTATAATTATAATTTACAAGCATGAAATTTTTTTTTGCTATTAAAGTAAAAATTTTAAATTACCGTATGCCAGAATTGGAAGGGCGGCCACCACAATATCCACTGCTCTCTGAACGATTACTGTTTCGAGAAAGGGAACTTCCACTCCTGATAAAAAAAAAAAAATTTTTATATTATAAAACTTTTAATTTTTTAGTTTACGGACAAAAGTCTAGATAATTTACAAAAAAATTATATTCTCCTTTGAATTATTTTTATCTAGTTAAGAAACAAAGTTTAAAGAATCTACATTGGGGTGGTATTAGCAAATTAGGAAAATAAAATTTATAATTTCTTAACTAGAAAACTTTTTATTAAGAGCTTAACTATTGATGAAATATTTTGCAGTGTTAAAACAAATCTATATAGTTTGAACTTTGAAATTTAAAAGTATTGAAATTTACAGAAATTCCAACAAAATCAACTTTACAGAAATAAAATAAAAATTTCTGAAATTTTTAATCTATATAAGGTAAAAGACCCCATTAGTGGCATTTTTAATCCCTATTAGTGGCACTTTTTCTTTCAATGAAAAAATGTTCTACTTGAAATAAAAATTAAAAATTTTTTTGATCTAAAGGTCTTGATGTTTAGAAATAATGTATTCATTATTGAAATTAATGATTTCATTAATTGAATAAGTTCCAAAATCAAAGAAAGTGTTAGTAATGGGGTCCCCGCCACTAATAGGGTCTTTTACCCTATATGCATATAAAAATTTAGGTTTGTGTCCGTATATTTCACTTTGTATAGCCAAAACTACGCATCGCAGACGAATAGTGTTTGTATGTGGCAATAGGTACAAGACTCTCATCGTGCACTATGGGGGTTGCAATACCAATGTTCTGATCGATCAAGAATGTTTTAGAAAATTCTAAAATGGTCTAGAAAGCTTTAAAATGTATGTCAACATTCTAATCGGTCTAAAATATTCTGGATTGTTCTAGAAGCTTTTAAAACATCCTAAACAATTCAAAAGTTGAAATTTTTAGAACGATCCAGAAAATTTATTAACTAGTGGGGATAAATTTTGCGACTATATAAAGCGAAATGTCGAGCCCATACTTTGGTCGATTTTTCAAAAAAATTGTTAATTTATATTAACAAATAGCCGTATACTATTAAAAATGACCCAGCAGCGGGTTTTCACAGCTAGTAATGAAATAAAATAATGGTAGAAAGTCAAAAGAAATGTTGGAATAATGATTTTTGAAATGGAGAATAGTTTTTTTTTCGTCCTAAGTGAGAGATGCTCTGTAAGTGTAAAGATTAAATTTAATTATGCTTTTAATCCTTATATTCCATAAAAATCAATTGAAATTTACAACTGACAGAAAAATTTGACATAGGTTTCGATAAAGTCCATAATAAAATTTCAAGTTCACGTTTTATGTCCCGTGACTGCAAGTGTATGTATAGCCGTAACTATTTTTATAGAAAAAAAAAATGATTATGTTTATTGTTAACTCATTTCTCATGACCCCGAGATTAGAAAAAGTGAAATTTTCCATAACTATGACATTGTTTACATAGCGACTAGTTTTGATAAAACTATTAATTGAGAAAAACAAAAATAATATATTTGTATCTGCTAATAATAATACCCACGGATCAATGAATTGAATTATTTGTTTTTTTAATAATAGATATCAAATTAATGAAAGTTTTTTCAGAACGATAAGTTATTTTTGTTTGCAAGATTGTGACACAATCAACTCGTTATAACGGTACTGCTAAAAATAGTCAAGAGTGAATTTTATTGCAGGGAAACTGATAAAGAGGCTCAACGATTCTCATCAATTGAAGAAACTGACCCTTCTCTCTTAATTTATTATATTTAATCTATAAATAAATTAATTGGAGTATATTTAATATTGAGTTCCTAAAATATAGTATTTTATTTTCGACTTTTTTATCCTAGCTATATTTATCACAATTTAATCTTTAGGTTATATTTAATTCAATTGTTTCTATAAACTTATATAAAGAAATTATTTATAGATCAAAATTAAAAAAATGGAAAACAATTATGAGGAAAATTAGATTATTTGTAATAATAATTATTAAGATAAAAGACCCAGTTATTGACACTGGCCTAGTTGTTTGTCACTTGCAATTTTATTCTAATTAAAAAAATAAAATGATCTCAAAAAACCAATTATCTTAAAATTTATAATTCAAAAATTATATTTATTAATTTATAAGAGTTGATTTGTTTTTTTTTTAATTAAAATAAAATTGCAAGTGTCAATAACTGGATCTTTTACCTTAGTAAAAAAAAAAAAAAAATGAGTGAAGTTATGAGAAGAATATTAAACAAATGAAAAAGAATTTTACAGTTAGGATGCTGTAAAAAATTTATAAGAATTGTAATTCAAATAAATTCTCAGAAATATCTTATCAGTTTTAATGAAGCTATAACGGAAAACCCTTTTACAATACAAATGTTTTCTCAATTTTAAGAATAACAATACTAAATTTTACCACTTGTTCACTTGGCTTTGCCATAAATAAATTATTTTATGTAAACAATGACATGTAAAAAGCATGAAAGTCAAACTGTTTAAACTATCGACAGTTTCTCAACTAACCTAAATGTTAATCATAAAAAAAGCAAAGAAGTTAGTTATTCACTGACAATTTGCATTATAAAATAGAAGTAACGAATAAAAAACTTAATAAATATGCATAAGAAGTGATTTATCGTAATTTACAACGAAATTCAACTTTTGACGCAATATGAAATGTATTATAATTTTCCATACTGAAAATAGCGGACATCTAGCTGTCAGTATTTTTGCAAATAGATTACATTGTTAAATATTGCAATATTAACAATTAAAAATTCAAACATTTTAATTCGTTGAATATTGGTTTGACAATTTGTTTTATTACGAATGTCTTCTGATTTTATTATTGTCAATAAGATGAAAAAAGTGATGGTTAATGTTTCTGTTAATTTATACTAGTGGATTGAATTTAGTTAAATGTTAAAAAATGTTGAATTTAATTAAAGAAATAAACAAAACATGCCCGTACAAAAAAAATTTTGGTTCCGGATGAATTTCCGGATGAACTTCAGATTGTGAAACAAATATGAATTTCATAATGAATTTCATCTGGAATTCCAGATGAATTTCATGATGAATTTGAAACAAATAGTATATGAAACTTAATTTTTTTAATTTATAAAAAAATATTTGGAGAAAGTTATATTGAAAATTTTAGTGTAACTTACGCTGTCTCATTATTTACGATTCTTAAACTTCTATCTGGATAAATTTTTTGGAGTACAAGAACACAATATGTAAAATAATAATTCGAAATTCATTATGAAAGTCAGCTGGAATTCCAGATGAATTTCATGATGAATTTGAATCACTCTGTATATGAAACTTAATTTTTTTAATCAGTAAAAAAATATTTGGAGAAAGATATATTGGAATTTTTAGTGTAACTTACGCTGACTCATTATTTACGATTCTTAAACTTCTATCTGGATCAATTTTTTTGAGTAAAAGAACACAATATTCAGAACAATAATTCGAAATTCATCATGAAAGTCAGCTGGAATTCCAGATGAATTTCATGATGAATTTCGTAATATTATTCTGAATCTTGTGTTCTTCTACTCCAACAAATTTATCCAGATTGAAGTTTGAGGATCGTCAATGATGAGTCAGTGTAAATAAAAATAAAAATTCCAATATAACTGTCTCCGAATATTATTTCACAAATTAAAATAATTAAGTTTCATATACTATTTGTTTCAAATTCATCATGAAGTTCATCTGGAATTCCAGCTGACTTTCATGATGAAATTTGTCATGATATTTGTTTCACAATCTAAAGTTCATCCGGAAATTCATCCGGAACCAAAATTTTTTTTGTACGGGCTGTAACGACCAATAGCCGCAGAGATATAAATTATCAAAAAGTTCTATAACTCTTACATTATTTATCATCATCATGTGAGAATAAACATCGGTCTTCTAAACTCCATAAATAAAATTTCACGGTTCCCATAAATCAACTTCAGGCCAATGACACCCGCTATTTAATCTACTCCAAAAATTTATTTAAATATCTAACGGTACAGCAGGTAGAAAATCCTTTCTATTCGCCCTTTCTCAGTTTCCAGTTTCCTTTTTTACATGTCTAATTTCTTGATCAATTTTTTGTTTAATCCGTTGTTAATAGAGCATACTTGGGAAACTTTATATCGAGGTCAAACAATAAAATAATTCCGATAATTATTTATTCCTCTATTGAGGGAAATTATTTAGCGATGTCGGAAGTACTGCATTAATACAAAAACCGTACAATGCAACAATAGCAATCATAATTATAATTATAGCTCCAATTAAAATTCACGCACAAAAGAAGAATAAAGTAAACTGTGAATTTATAACATAATGAATAATAATAATAATAATAATAATAATAATGGAATTCCAGCTGACTTTCATGATGAATTTCGTAATATTATTCTGAATCTTGTGTTCTTCTACTCCAACAAATTTATCCAGATTGAAGTTTGAGGATCGTCAATGATGAGTCAGTGTAAATAAAAATAAAAATTCCAATATAACTGTCTCCAAATATTTTTACACTGATTAAAAAAATTAAGTTTTATGTGCGATTTGTTTCAAATTCATCATGAAGTTCATCTGGAATTCCAGCTGACTTTCATGATGAAATTCATATTTGTTTCACAATCTGAAGTTCATCCGGAACCAAAATTTTTTTTGTACGGGCATGATACTGAAGTCATCAGTTATCTGACAATTTTTATAACAAATCCATTAATATAAAAAAAAAAAAAAATTTTCTGTTAGTTTTAGGGCCAGTTTTTCAATCCAAGATAAAATTTTATCCGACGCCAATATATATGTATAATATATTTCATGTTTATAGATATACTGGCAATAATAATTTTTATTTATCCTGGATAAAATTTTAAAATTTTATCTCGGATTGAAAAACTAGCCTTTAGTATTATAAAAAAACTAAAAATACACGACATAAATTGACAGTATAGTATTTAATAATTAATTTTTAGAGCACTAAAAATAATGACATTGAGAGAAACAAACGTGAAATTTTTTTTGGTATGTCGACATTATATGAAAACATAAAAAAAAAATTACAAGTAAACACAAGTATAAAAGTTAAAAAAATTAATGATATGAAGTTAGCTAACAACTGTCATTTTTTAATAATTTGATAAATCAATTACAATAAAAAAAATGCTTCCAAAAATTTTTTTTAATTTTCACATATGGGATTTTTTTATTCAATTTTTTTCGTAACAAATTTATTGCTATAAAATTCTAAAAAAATTTCTAATGTCTGTTAACTGCAGTGTCTTTAAAATTAGTACAAATTTCTTGAGTTATAGGTTTATATATGAGACATGAATAAATTATTTGATTCAATAATGATCTATTTGATTAAAAAAATTAAATAATAATAATAATTTGATGACTGGTAAATTTAGTATTATAAATGTTAATGAATAAAAATAAGAAGAATATTTTTTTATTTACTTTCTTATAAATGATAAAACTCACCTTCGTTGAGACTGACTGTTTTCATTGGTATTTGTGTACCCAGAATCAGATACTTTAGCATTATCATTAGACATTTTAATCACTTAAATAAAATAACTATTTGTTGTAAATAAATTTTAAGTTCTATGTTTCATGCCTATATGGCACTCGCGCACTGATTAATTATTAAATTATTCACGAACACAGTCTTGAATCACTTGTTGATTATTTAAGTAATAATTTAATATTATTACTTATGAAAAACTTACAAATTAAGTTCGCAAATAAATTTCATTACCGAGAATAGTAATATTAAATTTCAAAAAATGAATATTTAATGAAACTGGTGAATTAAATTTATATTTTGAAACTTGTACCTTGCGGCTCGGAGTCCGTGTCAACAATGAATCCCGCTAATGGTTATCGGCTTAATATAAGCTTGGGTTCTTGCGCAATTGTATTGCACGTGGGAAATGTTACTCCCTCTTACTTGTTGGCACAAATAAATAAATGGATACCCGCCGAGAATAAAAAATTAAATATATGTATAACGATGCAATGTGACAAGATGGAACGTGCTTTAATTAGTATTGACATTTTATGACAATAAGGGTTGATTTTCTTATTTTAGACCATAAATATAATTGGTTTTCTAAATTTACCGATATTATCATTCGTATACCGTAAGCAGTTGTCCATGGGAACAATTGGCATCGACTTCTAAATAATATATCTTATAAATTATATTGTATTATATTATAATTATATAATTATTTGATTCTATAAGAGTCGCAATAATTGTTTGTCTCTAAATAAATTTATGTAATGTATAATTAATTGTATAAAAGTCTTATTTTAAAATAAAGTTCAAAATTTGAAAAATTAACACAGACGCACTTAAGATACGGAAATAATCTATATTATTAATTTCTATTTTATTTTTTTATCAAAAAGTTGACAAAAAAAAATCAAATTCGGATTTTTTTGTTCCGAAGTCTGTCAAAAATCCAATTTTCAAAATTTTTTTTTGATCGTAGTCCACTCGGTGTATTTAAGTATATAGATTAAAACTCCGCCGTTTTTTTGTTTCAGATAAGCCAATCAGCTGATATCATAGAGGAAGTGAGCATCAATTTTTTTTTCGAGGCGGGTGTCTTTAGACAACTATAAATTTAATTCTACTAAATGTTTTTAGCTAAAAATTTAACTGTATATTCTTGAAATATGTGTAAATAAATGGCAAAAAGTTTTTTACGTTTAAAAGGCTTTTATGGTTAAATTTGGTATCGTTGGAAAGGTCTTGACCTGAAGTTGTGCCTTTTCAACGTGCAACGTCCACGTTTTCTAATAGTATATCTAATTGATCCCCGGCTCGAAATTTGCTCGCCGGAGTCCAGGGTCATATACGGGGATCACATCAAAAATAACAAAATATAAACAAAACACTTCATTTTAAACTAATTTAAGAAAGAAAACCTCATTATTGGCTTGTGCATGTTAATAAACGATATAAACAATATCGCGTTACTAATGCCAGAAGGGCGCATCTCAACATCTACGCCCTTCTGGCTCTGCAGAACCAGAAGGGCGTATAAAAAATTTTTTTTTTACTCCAATTAGCCTAAAAATGTTTATAACATATATATCTGTAAGAAAAGTGAATAAAAAAATTTTTTTTGTATACGCCCTTTTGGCTTTAAGACAAAAAGATTCTAAAGCCATAAAGGCGTATAATTTTTTTTTTTATCATAATTAACTATTAGCCTTAAAAAAAAAAAAGAAAAGTTATAACAGTTATATAGACTCCTCTATACGCATTTTATTTGAAGAGAATAAATATTTATATTTATATAATTATTTTAAGAGAATAAGTATTTTATTGTAAATCTAAACTTTGAAAAAATACTTTAATCTTAAAACAAATTCATCAGTTTTTACCATCATCAAAGCACAGATTTTTATAATATCGATGGTATTTTCTTGGAATAATCATATATATATCGAGAGTTTTCTAATGCAACCACGTATCACGATTTTTGAAGATGGAAGGGTTCAACTGAAAAATTAATAATTAATTATAAACGCGTTACTGAAAAAAAATATTAACCAGATTAATAATAAATTCGATAGTATTTTTAAAAAATACATTTGATTAATATTGCTTTTAGATGAATATTAATTTTTTATAAGCTATTTTTCACCTCATCTCATGGTACAAAACCATCGATATATGATTTTGTAATTTGGAAAATTAAACATAATTCATGACACTTTATCAGTGGAGACATGATTATTGTCAATAGAAATGAAAATTTTGTAATTGAGTTGAATACATTTTTCTTCAAATAGAATGTTACTGTTATTTTGGTTTTTTTAAGTTCAAATCCATATTCTTTTTGGATAAAATGAGTTAAATTATTAATTATTATTAAAAAAAATTATACGCCCTTATGGCTTTAAAATTTTTTTGTCTTAGAGCCAAAAGGGCGTATAAAAAAAAAATTTTTTTATTCCCTTTTCTTACAGATCTGAATATTATAAACATTTTTAGGCTAATTGGAGTAAAAAAAAATTTTTTTATACGCCCTTGTGGTTCTACAGAGCCAGAAGGGCGTAGATGTTGAGATGCGCCCTTCTGGCATTAGTAACGCGATATAAGCAAATTAAACAATATAAACAATACAAGAAAACATTCTATCCAAACATACAAGATGGTATTTGCGGTTCCAACTCAAAAACGCGATCTACAAAACACAAACTAGTTCCCCAATAACACCCCTTTCCCCCGCCCAGGGTGACTAGCCGTCAACCCTGAGGGTCCTAAACTCTACCCCGAGAGCGAGTAGAGAGTATCCTCCTCGCCGCCACCTACACGGCTTATGGATCACCTACCGTACCTCAGCTGAAGGCTTCGGCACGGGGAGTCGCACTTTCATTCGGTCGGTCCACGATACCTACCTGACTCCAGGTAGAGTATCATCCTCTAGAATTACTTGGTGAAGAGTATTCAACCGAGTAATTCTCCCGAGAAAGAATTGCTTGTCAAAATTATTTTTAAAACGGAACTTAACATATTTTTGAATCATCACTACAAACGAAAAATCTTCACCCTCTATCGAGGCTCGCGCAAGTTTAACAGTGTCAAACGCTATAAAACATTGCTAAGGAAAAATATTTTTTTCAAGTTTCTTAAAACAAAATTTAAAAAAGAAAAAATATTTTTTCAACGTTCTAAATTTATAATATTTATTTTTTCTAAAGACTGGTTTATAATACTTTATAGATATTTTTCTAAATTTGTATTTTTTATAATGTAATATAAGACTTACATATTTTTAAAAATGTAAAATAAACAGTTATGCCTTGGTAAGAGTGAAACTAAATTCAACAATTCCTTCTGTAATTTTGACAAGAATATCCGTTTTATCGCATCCAAAGAGCCATATAATCATTAAAAATAGATCACAGATAATTGGACTTAATAAGAGAAAAACAATCATGTCATTGTTATTATTGCAACGTTTCGACTATTTATTGAGTCTTCATCAGGCTCTGTAAATACATACATCCATTCGTAAAGACTCAATAAAGAGTCGTAACATCGTAATAATAACAATTACATGATTGTTTTTCTCTTATTAAGTCCAATTATCTGTGATCTATTTTTAATTTTTGTTTGACAAAAATTTTCGTCCCTGTGCTTTAGGGTGAGCCAAAAAAACTAACCTATCGAATTTATGGGTTAAAATGAACCTATACATAAAAAAAAAAAAAATTCCCCTGCGAGGAAGGATTTTTAGCTTAATTTTGAAAGGTGTCGATGAGCATTAAAAGTTTCCCATTTAAATAACACGTAAAAAAAATCTTTTTTTATTAAAAATAATCTAACTTTTGAACCGCTTGAGATAAAAATTTTTTGATGGCGAATTCTTGAAGGGCATTAAATTTCCTACAAAATCATGCCTGGTTCCATTTTTTAAAGTCAAAAATTCATATATTTACTGGTCATGAAAATTTAACGAAAAATCAAAATAAGCAATTTTAGGCATTTATTGTTAGAAATTTTTATATTTAAGGAAATAAATTACTTTGAAATGAGATAAGTAGGCTCAGGGGGTATACAAGTACTATTTTTATGTAAAAGCGTGGTTTAAAATTCCTTGTCCGGTAAGCACTCCAGCTCAAGACAGATTTCTTGAAAAAGTTAATTAATTATAAAAATATTAATAAAAAAATTTCAAATGCTACTGTATCAACATTTTTGCGATATTTATGGTATCTGACGGAAAAACTTGCTGCTATGTCATTTTTTCGATTCTAGTATTTTAGAAGTTAAAAAAAAAATGGTAAACGCGATCAAAAAGGAAGAGAACAAAATTTGTGATAAAATAACTCATTTCTTTGAAACAAATCGAGTCAAGTTGATTTTCAGATAATATTATTCTTCTTTCATCAATTTTATTCTCTTCCTTTTCGATCACACTTACCATTTTTTTTAACTTCTAAACTAATTTCAAATTCTCTTGGTTTAGAATCCTTCAAGACAAGAGTATTCGATTTTCTTATAAATCTTGAATAATAATATAATAGTGAGCTGGTTAATATGATTAAAAAACATTATGTCCATTTGAACATTATGAAAATTTTATGTTTTAAGCTATCATGTAAATTTTTATTTCCATTATGTACATATTAGCGGTACTTATGTGAATTATAATTATAATTTTATGTATATCATTTTTGCCATTTGGCTTTGTGCCTTGGCATCTAAATCTAATAAATAAATTAGTTTAGACGTTAATTAGTATTAATACTAGAATCGAAAAATGATATAGCAGCAAGTTTTTCTGTCAGATACCATAAATATCACAAAAATATTGATACAGTAGCATTTGAAATTTTTTTATTAATATTTTTATAATTAATTAACTTTTTCAAGAAATCTGTCTTGAGCTGGAGTGCTTACCGGACAAGGAGCTTTAAACCACGCTTTTACATAAAAATAGTACTTGTATACCCCCTGAGCCTACTTATCTCATTTCAAAGTAATTTATTTCCTTAAATATAAAAATTTCTAACAATAAATACCTAAAATTGCTTATTTTGATTTTTCGTTCAATTTTCATGACCAGTAAATATATGAATTTTTGACTTTAAAAAATGGAACCAGGCATAATTTTGTAGGAAATTTAATGCCCTTCAAGAATTCGCCATCAAAAAATTTTTATCTCAAGCGGTTCAAAAAGTTAGATTATTTTTAATGAAAAAAGATTTTTTTACGTGTTATTTAAATGGGAAACTTTTAATACTCATCGACACCTTTCAAAATTAAGCTAAAAATCCTTCCTCGCAGAGAATTTTTTTTTTCGATGTATTTTAACCCATAAATTCGATAGGTTAGTTTTTTTGGCTCTCCCTATTGTGCTTACGCAATATCGTTAATTTTCAAAGATATACGAGCGTCCTCAGCAATAAACGAAATTTTCTCACTCACACAATGCAATTTTAAACTTCATAAAATTAATTGCCAATAGAATTGATTTTAATTATTGTTATATTTGAAACATTATTTAAGTAAATAAAAAAAAAAATGTTTATGAGCTAACGTTGTTTTTAATACAGATATATTAATTAAAATTTATTTACTTACCAAATTTATAAATTTTTCATTGCAGTAACTTAAAGATAAACTCACTTATAAATACTTCATTCATTATTAAAGATTAAATAATAACGAAATAAAAAATAGGACTGTTAAAACTACAGGGGATTTAAGGTAAAAGTCACTTGCGAATTAGTTCGACACAAAACAGAAGAAATAATAGTAACATATATATATATATAGAATATTAATTATTTATTTAATTACATCAACTTGATTAACTCGGCTGAGCTAACAATCAACTTGTCATCTATACTATAAAATATAGGACTTTTTCATGATTGTTGAGAGATGGATATTAGTTTAAATTAAAAAATTTAAGACAGTTATTTCTATGATGGTAATAATAATAATTATTATTTTTAAAAAATTAATTAATTTTTTTTATTTAATTATAAACTCTGTATCGTATTTATTTTTATAATTAAAATCACAGATGTCATCAGGTACTTGGGTTTTTTCGATGTGCCAGTGTCCTGAAAATGGAAACAAATTGTTCAGTATTAATTAATTGAGTCACTCTCCAGACCCAATTCTTTAAATAGGTGATTCAAAAAAACACATTATTGTTAATTGTATAACTGTAAATAATTCGAACTAATGATACAATTTTAATAATTTGATATTTAAGTTATAATAAAATTTACTCATCAGTAGTTTAAAAAATTTCATTATAAGTAATTAAAATTGCATCGTTAATTTATGAAATAGATTATAAAAAAAAAAAAAAAAAAAAAAAAAAAGGAAATTCATAAACATTTTTAGTTTTTTACAGATTTAAAAAATCTAAAATTACGAATAAATAAAAAATAAATTTTTAATTCATTATTAAATGTATTTTTCGGCTATTAAGGCAAGTCTGTTACAGTCTAAAAATTTAACGGTATATAGTCACACATTAATGTCAAAAACACATGTTTATTGTTTTGTTTTCATTCAAATAATTATATTGTTTAGTTACTAAATGTGGGTGATGAAAGATATTATGTTTTTTTTTATATTATTATTATTATTATTATTATTATAATTATACTGTTACCATGTATATACTATAAATGTATATCTATTTTATTAACTTATAAATTATTAATATTTAAAATTAATGTTGTTTTAAAAATAATAAAAAAAAATCATTTACATAATACAACTAATTTTGAAAATTTTCTTTTATATCGAAACTACATTCGCGGTAATTTTTATAGAAATTGATTTGGTATATTCACTATATTATTAAGTGTTTATATCCCTTCTTTAAAATCAGTAAATAAATACAGAAGTTGAAAATTAAAACAACCAATAAAAAAATTTTAATTTTGTATCAATTCATTTAAATAGAAATTAACTCAATATAGTAATAATGGTAATATAACACAGGTAAAAACTATCTAAATGTGAAAAAAATTTAAACAATATTACGGAATCATTACAGTTTAATTATAAGGATATTATAATTATTAATTTAATAAGAATAAAATGACCATGCTAGCTCAATATTAATAATGTAACTCTAATATGAATATTTTCAAATTTCATGCATTCTGCTTTGATCTTTTTTATTCTATAATGAAAGATCCCTGACGCAGTCGAATATTTCGACAATTCTAAACTCTAAAGGCCACGCGATTAATTTGTTTTTATATAATTTTTTAATTAATTAATTAATAATTAATGAATAATATAAATTTAACAAAGATTAATAGTTACGAGACTAAACCATTATTTTATGTTATCAATTAATTAATCACTTAATTTTCTTCTAAACTTGTTTGTATAAATGAATATATTTTTTATAATAAAAAATTTAGTAAGAAAAGTTTTCATTGAAATTTTCTTAATCGATAATTCAAAAAATTGATGTATGAATAAAATAAAATTGATCGTAATGATATTTAATAAAAATTTTTTCGTTTTTTTTTTTTTTTTTAGTATGAAAATAAAAATTTCAAAGTAAACTTTTCATAATTGTTAATAATTATTCCTCCACTTACGAACCGTATTCGGCACTAGTCCATAGCAATTTTTTTTTTAATTTTCTGTATAAAAATAGATGTAGGACGTCAATTATATTATTATAATTATAACTATTTTAGTTTGTTTGTTTAATAGCATCTTAATTTTCATCTTGGATTAAAAAATTTTTAATAAATATTTCCCAAAGCACAACCGGTATATTAATTAATTATTTAAAACGACAAGTGAGCAATATTGATTATTAACACAGCCACAAACTTAAAAAGTACTGAAATAAAATCAGTCCCCGCACAATTGTTAGGGTAAAAGCACTAGTTTTGGACACCATACAATTTGTGGATATTTTTCAATTAAATTCGATATAAGAAAAAGGTAATTAAAGAATCGTGGAATACAATATAAACATTAACGATGTTTTTTTTTCTGTCTTTAAAGTGTCCAAAACTTTAATTAACGTATCAAAAGCCGATAGTTTTTTACTCTATACCCAAATAAGTGACTGAATAATTAAATGCGATGTATATGTGTATCAATTGTGAGGAGATTATGAGTTTAAGAAACAAAGAAAGAAGAAATAAAATAAATATTAAGTTGAGTAACGTTATTGTTTTCGGTAATGTTGAAGTGGCAATTGTAAGCAATCAGTTGTTGTAATTATTATTTTTTATAGATAGTTGAAGTGGGCTTTCCTCAGTTGCAGGCCCGATGTGGTCAAGTGAGTCTTAAAATTCGTCTCATTGTTGCGTGCGTCCAGCTTGTGTTTATGGGTTACCAGTCAGTCTGTGAAGATAAACACATAAAAAAAATTATATTTATCCATAAACTAAATTTCATTATTTTTCCTTAATTCGTCAATAAATATCCTCGTGGCATTATTAGTTTCACTTAAATATATATATGGATAAAAATATAATATCTGTTCTATATTTATACACATATATATTATATATTAATTAAATAGTACGTTTTTCTCTCGCGAAGTTATTTGTACTTACGTGACACTCCATCTAGTTAATTCTGTTCCTCATCCATTTTCAAACGTTTTCGGCGATCATCACCAACGTTGCGTTCTTCAGCCTCTAACACCTTCAAACGAGAACCACATATCTCTTGTCCGTGCAATGTCTGAAATGATAAATCGTTTCACTCCATTATTAAATTACTTTCTTGACAGATATTTTACTTTAATTATTTGGAGCACTAATTTAATAGCATAGTTGGTAGTTGTTTGACACTTTAAGTAATTTATTTGAAAATGATTCAACTTCAAAGGACTTTTCGATCACAAAAAAAAATTAATTAAAAATTTTCCTTTGGGAAAGCTTTTGATATTACACATAGAGAAAAAAATAGATCTTATTCCTATGTAGAATGGTAACCATTACTATGTTACATAGGAACGAGAATTTCTCTAAGAATTTTGTGTAAATTTGCTGATAAAAGTCTTAGAAATTGTGATAAAAATATAAACAACCACATATTCGTTGCGGAATTAAATTCTCAACATAATGATGTTGTTTTTTTTATTTTGTTGAGAAATTTCAAATTGTGATCAACAAAAAACATAAACAAAATGAAAAATCTCAGTTTTTCGTAAATAACTCAATAACTATAGGTGATATCGCGCAACTGCCGTCGTATTTTAGCATCGGCACGGCCGTGTGACAAAAGTCGCATGGAACCCTATTTTCAACATTAAATAAAAATTATTGTTTTTAAAGCTAGAGTTCCCGGAGGCGAGACTTTTTTTCAGAAATTTTCTCCTTTTTAAGGATTTTTTTTTTTCCGATTTTCGATATCACCTATAGTTATTGAGTTATTTATGAAAAACTGAGATTTTTTATTTTGTTTATGTTTTTTGTCAATAACAAACTGAAATTTATATCAGAAAAATAAAAAAACAATATGATTATGTTCTGAATTTAATTCCGCAACGAATGGGTGGTTGTTCATATTTTTATCACAATTTTTAAGACTTTTATCAGCAAATTTACACAAAATTCTCAGAAAAATTATCGTTACTAAGTAACATAGTAATGGTTACCATTCTACATAGGAACAAGATTTATTCTTTTCTCTCCGTGTAGATAATTGCATAACTTAAAAAAAAAAAAAAAAATTCATAATCTATGTCAATTAGGTCAATATATTTATATCAAAAATTTTACTTTAATTTAAAATACTAGACAAATTCACGGTGAATGTTTGCGAACACAATAACTTTCTACATCTATAAATTTCAATTAATTATTTTAATCATGTCATAAATCTGTCTCATCAGTATCAACTTTTTTTTTTCATAAATTTTGATTTGAATATAAATTCTGTAAGTATTTTTTTTTTTTTTCTATAAATTCATACCATATTTAATAAAGAAATTGTTCAAAATACTACCTAATTATTTAAATAAAATTATTAAAAAATATAATCCTAAAATAAATATAAAGCCTTTTCCATACTATAAAGTTTAGTGGTCACCGGAAACTATAGTGTGATATTTATAGAGTTTTTCGTTTTTGAAACATTACTCATGCGACCGAAACGAATTTAATATGTTTAATTTACCAAAAATCGGTCCAGCTGCGTTTATTCCAGACGAAAGAAACATAGCATAGATATATATACATATATATAAATCTTCCAAATTTATTAGTCTCCTTTTAACTTGGTCGCAGTTGAGTAAAAATATTATATTATAATTTGTATTTCTAGATCCCAGTACAGCACATATCATAATCATAATCATGAAAATTCTAATAATACGATAATCACTAAACGGGTCGTTTCCGACAAATCTAAAATATCACACCTAGTTGAATTCATTATTCTCAAATTCAGGCTGTATATATTCATCTAATAAATCATAGTTTAGTAGACTTAAAAGGACCACCAGAGTTATTTTAAGTGATATAGCTAACTAAGTCATTGTACTTTTATTTTATAATTAATTTTCATCATACTTTTAAATCATCACTATATTATTAGTTTATTCAAATTAATATTATCAATTATCAGTCCAACTAACGATATGTTAAATTAATTATAGAGTACTTGTTAATCATACCTCAATAGCGCGATTTGCACTCTCAACACTTGCGTACTTTGCATAGCCACAATTTTTACCAGGCAGCATATAAACATCAATAAGATTGCCAAATCTACAAAACGCATCTTTCATCGCATAAATTGGAGGCACTGGTGGTCCACAAACAATGAAACACCTTTTTTCAACATCTGCGTCTATACTTGCCATTGCCTGCACTGGTGGTAATTTCATAGTCATTGTATGCTCCAAACCTAAGTAATAATAATAACAATTATTATTATTATTAATTAGACCAACAATAAATCAAAAGTGGAGTACAATTGAATAAAAATGAATTTTTAATTAAAAATTATAGTAGTATAGTAATAATAATAATTATTATTATTACTAATCTTAAATCTGATATTCGTAACACATGTACAAAAATTAACCATTATAAATAAATTTAACAGTATAAACATAATAACAAATTGCAAAAATAGCAATAACTAATAAATTTTAACAACATAGCAAATTGAATTAAAAGAAAAAATTAAGAGCAATAATAATCTAACAACTATTATTGAGTTATAAAATGTAATCATCTTATCAAGTAAGTTTTTTTATAATAAAATAACAAAAATTTTTTTAATTTATAAAAAAATTTAGAATATTAATTGTAAAAATTGCAGTTGACGCTGGAAATATGTAAAAAATTTGTAATATATGTTAAAATAAATGTCTGATGATGCCTGGTAGGAAAACAGGCGAAATATCGCAATAAAATAATTAATACTAGTGTACTCGACTGGATTGCCAATATACATAAAAATATAAATTATTATTATTATTATTAAAAATAATAATTTTTTTTAGTCAATAACTATAACGGAATAATTTTTTTCAATTAAAAAATTTTACTCCGAAACTATTTTTATACGGTAAATAATTATAGACTGTGTAAGAAAAAAAATTTTACTGGGAAATAATAAAATATGTAAATATAGAAAAGCAGTACAGATAAAATGATGATGATGATGATAAAAAATAAATGAACCTACTTGGTGCCGTTAGTCCAGCTGCTTGAATTAACGAGGTAGCTTGGGCAATTGTTTCCGCTAGATGAGCAAGGTCTGTTCTAGCTGGACCCAGTCCACTAATATTAGATCCACCAGGTTTTAAACTTTTCTGTGATGGTGCGCCAGTCATGTCCGGCTTAACAATCATCCTGTGACCTGGTGGATACTCAAAACCGTGAAACTTTTCGCGAGCATAAGCCGCAGCGCTTGGATGTGAGTAAACTACGGTCGCTTGTCCGCGTGGTACTCTATATCTCATGTCTGTCTTGAGCTGACAGTAATCTAAACCAGGAACTATGTCAAATAGCTTCCAAAGCTGGTCTTGATTTAACGCCGGGTGTGCGATCACCTGCAGCCGAGTGTAACCCTCTTGATTAGGATAATTGGTAGCAATTTCCAGACCGATACTACTTTTACCAAAGCTAGATGACCCAAAGTTATTGCTCATATTGTCGTACTGCATCGATAATCCATTGTTGTTGTACTTTGAATCGGAGTGATCCGGTTTAGGTTTTTTTGGCTCGGCAAATACTGCTTTGTATTTACGATCGCACTCTTCAAATGCTCGTGCCGCGCTTGATACTTTTTTAAACTTGACATAACCAAATCCCTTGGATTCATTTGTATTTCTATCCTTAACAACAGTCGCATACTCAATCGGTCCAAATTTAGAAAACTCCTGCTGTAATTCGTGATCGGTCATTGACTTTGGTAGAACGCAGAATAATCTCACCCATCTCTCTTCTTCATTTGTTTCTCGTACGGATCCTTGATCGCGGCTGTTATTTTTTTATAAATTATAATAAAATTGTTTTATACACGTAAAAAAACAAGATGACACTGGATATTATCCTAGATTATACTCAGTGATACAGTATAATCTGGGATGATATCCAGTGTCATCTTGTTCTTTCCGTGTATAACAAAAAAAAAATTAAAAAATTTAACAATCATGTTTGTAAAAATTACTATATCATTTAATAATTTAATGACTCTAAAAAAAAATTTTTTTTTTCCCGTTTAGATTGTAATAATTGTTAATTATTATGACTATACATACTTAGATGCAATCATAACTTTAATTGGACGGCCAATGGATCCTAACATTTTTCCATTCATCTCTTCTAAAGCAAACGCCGCTTCAGATGTTTTTGAAAATTTAATATAAGTCACGCCTGTAATTGTTAATTCAATTTAATTGGATAAAATAATATATGTATTGATAAAAATAAAATAATTGAATAAATGTTATGCAAGAGTTTAACTCTACTCAAGTATGAATAATAAATAAATAATATTGATTAGCGTGTAGTGAATGAAAAATAATTACCTTTATTTTCACCCGTATTGCGGTCTTTAACAACCCAAATATCCTCAATTTTACCGAACTTGTCAAATGATTTTCTGAGATCTTCCTCCTCCAAACTTTTGTGGCAGATAACGAACAAACGTGAATTAGGTGGATCATCATTTTTTGAACGCGGGTCGGTCTGCGAATAATATGAGTCTCGTTCTCTGTGATCAGCCATTTTGCAAATGAGCGAAAGCTACCAAAGCTAAAACGTTACGTTAAGAGTGTCGCCAAGAACTACTATGTGTCTTGTATACCTATGTACACTTATGTACTTATAACGGGCGTGGATGTGTGTTTCATGCAATCTGTATATGTGCAGTGTGCATATGTAGGGATCTATATTGCAATAAATACATACACACGTGAGACTGCGTGATACTGTAACCTGTGACTGTAACCGTAGCGGCGACGAAAAGATGAAAGCATGAAAGTATATGTATGAAAGCAAACTGATAACTTCACTGCAAAATGAGACAACGGCGACACGACTGCTGTATCCCCACTATCGTAGTTTACTATACTTAGTTTACAAATACTTGTTGCTCTCGTGGTAAGTTACTGACTGAGTGACAATATTCTGGTCGGTAATTTAAATACCAACTTGAAGGGTATGTGATTTAAAAAAAAGCATAAACTGAAGTTAACTGACATTAGAGATTTTTTTTATAATTATTTTATATAGCAATTAAAAAAAATACTTAAGTTAGCCGACGTTTTTGATTTTGTTTCAATAATTAAATTAGAACAAAAAAATATTTTTAAAAAATTGCACTTATAGTTTTTCAAGCTTTTTATAAATGAAATTTTCTTTTTATTTCTTTGTAATAATTTTTTCAATAAAAAAATATTCTAAAAATTTTCAGATGTTGGCTAACTTAATTTTCATCAATTAATAAAACTAAAGTTAGCCGATGTCTTTAATTTTTTTTTCAATAATTAAGTTAGAACAAAAAAATATTTTTTAAAAATTGCACTTACAGTTTTTCAAGTTTTTTACAGATGAAATTGTTTATTAAAATTAATTTAGCAGGTATTTTATAATTTTAGAAATTTTTTTCACAAATAAATTATGTCAAAGAAAATAAGAAAAAAATTGACAGTTAGAAAATTAAAAAAATGAAATTTTTTAAAAATGATTTTTCGGAGCAAATTTATTCATTGCCAAAAATTAATAAATTGTTAAGTGACTGCTAACTTTAATATCATAATTTTTTTTTTTATTTTTTTGTAATAATTTTTTCAATAAAAACATATTCTAAAAATTTTTAGATGTTGGCTAACTTAATTTTCATCAATTAATAATACTAAAGTTAGCCGATGTCTTTAATTTTTTGATTTTTTTTTCAATAGTTAAAGTAGAACAAAAAAATATTTTTTCAAAAATTGCACTACTCACAGTTTTTCAAGTTTTTTACAAATGAAATTTTTTATTAAAATTAATTTAGCAGATATTTTATGAATTTTATGAATTTTTTTGACAAATAAATTATTTCAAAGAATATTCTGATTTTAGAATGAGAAAAAAAAATTGACAATTGGAAAATTAAAAAAATGAAAAATGCCATTTTTTAGAAATAATTTTTCAGAGCAAATTTATTTATTACAAAAAATTAACAAATTGTTAAGTGACTGCTAACTTTAATATCATAATTTTTTTTTTAATAATTTTTTCAATAAAAAAATATCCTAAAAATTTTTAGATGTTCGCTTACATGATATTTTCGTATAACATCATTTTTACATGTAACTTAATTTTCATCAATTAAAATACTATGAAAAAATATTAATAAAAACATTCCTGGTGTGAAAATTAAAAAAAATTATTAATATAAATTTTTTAAGACACTTATTTTATTGTAATTGATTGTTGAAAACATTTTTAAAAATCGACACTTGTCAGCTAACTTCAGTATCATAAAAAAGGCAGATTTACAATCAACTAGAAACTACAATAATACAATAAACCCAATAAACGCAAGCAGTCATGGCATAACCAACCCAAAAGCAGAAAGTGGTTTCATTTCGCCGCCATCAGCTCATCTTCATCCATCTTCCACATTGTAACATCAACAAAATCTTGTAACTTATATTAACACCATTAACTAAACAAGTTTCATTACTAAATAATTTATTTAAATAATTACTAACACACTATTCATATTTTACTTTTGTATTTTTGTAATACAAGTTTATCTTCAATTCGTGTTTATAATTATCCAAACGACTGTTAGTACATACTATTTGTTTTATCATTACATTTGTATATTTATATTAGGTGTGGTAATATATAATTATTTAAGTTAAAATTATACTCGCAGTAATTACAAGATGACTGAGGAAAAAATGGAATTTGTAAGTAGTTTATTTTTAATATTTTAGAATTGTTGTTTTGTTTTATTAATATATATATTGTTTTTTTTTTCTCCAAATTAAAAGAACATGTCTTTGAAGGATTGGGGTAATGAAAAATTGCAACGAGCACAAAAAACGGTCGACGAGAGCCCGTATGATTTGGAAGCATGGAGTATTTTGATAAGGGAAGCACAAAATAGGCCTATCACCGAGGTTAGACCGGTATTCGAAAAACTCGTGACTATTTTTCCATCTGCTGGACGATACTGGAAAATTTATATTGAACAAGAGGTAATAAATAAATTCATTTTGTTATTTAATTACTCTGATACTAAAAAAAAAAAAAAATGAAAATTAAATTAGCCGACATCTGAAAATTTTTATAATTATTTTCATTGAAAAAATTGTTGCTATAAAATTAAAAGAAAAAATTGCACATGTAGAAAATTTGAAAAATTATACGTGCAATTTTTTTAAAGTATTTTTTTACTTGCAATTTAATTGTTAAAAAAAAAAAAACAGTAAAATTTTTGAACGTCGGCTAACTTTAGTATCATAAAAAAAATTATTCTAATGAACTATTTTAATTTTTAAAGTAAATACCTAAGTATAAATTTTATTTTTTTAATTACAGATAAAAATGCGCAACTATGAGAAAGTAGAAAAGGTATGTTAAATCTTACAGTAATGTAAATCCATGTGATTTTTTGTGTTAGTATTTTTAAAAACTATTGTTTAATTAAAAAAAAAAACTAGTCACTAAATATTCAAGTATTAATTTTTATAAATGTAAAAAAAAACAGATTAATTTGATAATTAATTTTTTAATCAAACAATAGTTGATAATTTAAAAAAATTTATGCCCGATATTTAGATAGATAAGTAATTAAAAAAAAAAATAATAATTAGAAATAGCTGTTACTAACAGTACAGCCGTGTTTATATTATTTAAAGCACTTTACATTCTGTGTGAGGTGAATAAAAAAATTTGACTTGATTACAAGCCACTTATTTCATTGATTAATTAATGTTTTCTTCATACATTTGGGAGGTTCATTTCTTGGAGCAATTTATTAAGATAATTTTTTTTTAATTTACAAGTATTAATAATGTTTTTTAAATATGTAAATATTGAGTTATGTAATTACGACTCCAAGAAGACAACTTTCTGAATGTGAGAGCCTTAAATTCCTTCCTGCAATAATGCGATTCGATGAATAGAAATATTTCGAGTTGAATCATCAAGTTTGATTTTGATTGGCCAATTCAACGATAGCTGTCGTTTCTCAAATAGTATTGATAGGTCCTGTTGATCAATTCGTTTTGCTTCATCTATAAAAATTCGCCGTTTTTTTTTTTTTATTTATTAATTTTTTTTTTTAAATGTGTAGGGATCATTTATTTATCGATCCTACTTAGGCACATAATTACCACACTCCCCATTTGCAACAAATAAATGAAACATTTATTTAAAAGGGGATTATTGTTTATTATTTTTCAATAAATTATATCATAAATGAAAATATACTTGCAATGTTTGTTGAAATAAATTATTTTTAATGCTTTTGTCGCATAATTATTTAACCCAATTACTTGAATTTAAAATATTAATGATAATTTTAATAAATTATTGATAATTATTGTAACATGGAAAAAAAATTAGAAATAAATAATCAAACCATCATATTTTTTCTTTATTTCTTTAAAATAATGTGGAAACTGATAATGTTGTTGTTTGTTATCGAACTTTGATGGATATTTTATAGTTGTTTCTATTTGATCTAAGTGCTGTAAGTAAGTAAGGTATTCCCTCAAATTATCTAATGATTAAAAGAAGTTAAATATAGATATTTATAAATTTATTTACTTGTTTATTTTTATTAATTAGAATAAATATAAATAATTCAAAAAATTTTGTTTATTTACTTTCCTGACAGTTGTTCCAAAGATGCCTAATGAAAATCTTGAATATAGAATTATGGAAGTTATATCTTTCTTATGTTAAAGAAACTAAAGCGAGTCTTGCTACGTATAAGTAAGTTTTTTTTTAATCATTATTTCGCAGTTGAAATTTTTTATTTTTAAATCCGTGTACAGTTCTCTTTTAATTCATTCATTTCTTTGAAAAAAAAAAAAAAAAAAAAAATTAGTCCTAAAAAATTTTACTGAATGTCTTCTATTGTACTTGAAGAGTTTGTCTTTTTTCATCAAAATGAAATTTATACTTACACATAAACAATGGTCTATTCAGTAAGAATTACAATAAATTTTAATCCGAAATTTTATTACTATTTTTAATCACCTAAAAATTAATCAAATGTTTTGCTCAGAAAAAAAAAAAAACGTCATTTAGATTCTTTGTATTAAATAAAATAAATTCTTCATCTGATGTAATTAATTCAAGAGAAATGGATCATTTTTAAAAATAAAATATTTTAACCATTGCAATCGGATATAGATAGTAATTAAAATATTTTTTTTTTTTTGTAGAGAAAAAATGGCACAGGCGTACGACTTTGCTTTGGATAAAATCGGTATGGATATTCATTCATACAGTATTTGGAATGACTATGTCACATTTCTTAAAAGTGTTGAAGCAGTTGGTTCCTATGCAGAAAATCAAAAAATCAGCGCCGTTCGTAAGGTAGCTATATTTAATTTGCATCTATAAAATAAACCAAAAGTAGAGCCGAGCACTTGTAATAAAATAAATTTTTTTCAAGGTGTATCAACGAGGAGTTGTTAATCCAATGATAAACATGGAGCAATTATGGAAAGACTACATGGCGTTTGAACAAAATATAAACCCTATTATTGCTGAGAAAATGGCTATGGAGAGATCAAGGGATTATATGAACGCCAGGCGCGTTGCTAAGGAACTTGAAGCGAATACTCGTGGATTAAATCGCAGCGCACCAAGTGTCCCACCTACTGGACATCCTGAAGAACTTAAACAGGTATTTATATTGGTAATCGAAAAAAGTAGAAGCGGAAAAAATTTTTAAGTTATAAAAAATTCATATTATTTCATTAAAATTATTTTAAAATAAAAATAATAATAATAATTGTATTACACCCACAATTTTCCTGAAAAATAAGCAACCACAGAATGATCGCTCCATTTTTTGTTACGAAAAAAAAAAGATATTATTATTATTATTATTATTATTATTATATATATTTTTTTACAATTGTAATTTGACTATATTTACAATTGTTATTGGCTGTCCATTCTAGTGCACAATTTTTCTCTAATTATTTATAATTTTTTTGTTAGCCTGTATTCCCTCCAGGCCTAAACAATTTTTTCCTTCTTATTTAAATTTGTCATTAGAGATAAATTTAACTGAAAAAATAATTCGGACAAGGAAAAAATTGTTTAGGCCTGGAGGGAATACAGGCTAACAAAAAAACTATAAATAATTAGAGAAAAATTGTGCACTAGACTAGACAGCCAATAACAATTGTAAATATAGTCAAATTACAATTGTAAAAAATATATATAATAAAAATACTAGTCTCTAGAAATAAAAATATTGTAAAATTATTATTGTTATTATTATTTATTTATTTAAGAGCACTTATTATTTTAAGTCAGCTTTCCCGATCCGATTTGATGGTAGACTATTCAATTTTTTTATTTATCAATTATTACACCACAATAAAATAATAAATGCTCTTTAATAAGTAAAATCACTGATCTTAAAATAATGTTGAATAAAAATAATAATAATAATATTAATGAAATAATATGAATTTCTCATAACTTTAAAATTTTTTCCGGATCTATATTTTCCGGTCTATTTTTTCCGGGATTTATTTATTTTATATATAAATGACAATATTAATAGACAAATTGTTTTAAATAAAAACTTTAGCATTTTAGAAAAAGATATTTACTAATATATTATTATTATTATTATTATTATTATTATTATTTTCACAGGTTGAATTATGGAAAAAATACATCGCATGGGAACGCAGCAATCCTTTGAGGACCGAGGACACATCACTTGTTGCTAGGCGAGTAATGTTTGCTATCGAGCAGTGTTTACTGTGTCTGGGTCACCATCCAGCAGTCTGGCATCAAGCGGCCCATTTTCTCGAGTTGAGCTCGAAAATCCTGACGGAAAAAGGCGACGTCAATGCTGCTAAAAATTTGAGCGATGAAGCTGCCACAATGTTTGAACGCGCTACCAATACCTTGCTTGCTAAAAATATGCTGCTGTACTTTGCTCACGCGGACTTTGAAGAAGGGCGGGTTAAATATGAAAAAGTACACCAGATTTACCAAAAGTACCTTGATATTCCAGATATCGATCCGACACTAGTAAGTTTATTAATTTTGCATACTTGAGATATAAATTTTTACTTAATTTAATTAATTTTTATTTAGGCTTATGTGCAGTACATGAAATTCGCTAGAAGAGCTGAAGGAATTAAATCTGCTAGAACAGTATTTAAACGCGCACGTGAAGATCCACGGTCGCGTCATCATGTTTATGTCGCGGCAGCGCTGATGGAATACTATTGCACTAAGGATAAGAATATTGCATTTAGAATTTTTGAATTAGGTCTAAAGAAATTTGCTGATAATCCCGACTATATTTTGTGCTATATCGATTATTTGTCGCACTTAAATGGTAAGTAATTCTATTAATATTATCAAAGTCAGGTTTTAATTTTAATTGAGTAGTATAATAATTTTTTTTTTTTTTTATTTACAGAGGATAATAATACTCGTGTATTATTCGAAAGAGTTTTATCATCCGGTAGCTTAGAACCTGAAAAATCAGTGTAAGTAATTATTTATATTTTGATAATGTTAAATAATTATTAATGATTAAATTAAAAATTTTTCTAACTGACTTAAAAATTTAACAGTGACATTTGGAATCGTTTTTTGGAATTCGAATCAAATATTGGTGACTTGGCGAGTATCGTTAAGGTTGAAAAACGTCGAAGCGCAGTGTTAGAAAAGGTATTGATAAATTTATTATTTAATTAACTATTACAGATATTTAATTTTACATTAATTGATTGTCTAATTAATTAAATAATTTTTTTCAGTTAAAAGAATTTGAAGGCAAAGAAACAGCTCAATTAGTTGACAGATATAAATTTTTGGACCTTTATCCATGCTCGACGATGGAACTAAAATCGATTGGATACCACATCGGAAATTTGGGTAGAAATAATATCGGAGGCTCGTTACAGAGATCACAAGACAACGAAGAAGTTATAGCTGCGTTACCTCGCCCAGATATATCACAAATGATACCCTTTAAACCAAAAGTTCATGCAGTACCCGGTGAACACCCAGTTCCAGGTTTGTTTAAGCTTAATCTTAAAAAATATTTTTTTACGATCATCTAACTTTTTATTTTTATTTTTATCAGGTGGCGCATTTCCATTACCACCAGCTGCCGCTCAACTGTGCACGTTACTTCCGCCACCGGGTTGCTTTCGCGGGCCTTTTGTCGCAGTCGACCTTCTTATGGACGTTTTTAGTCGTATACAACTACCTGAACAAGGTAATTATATTATTCTCCATTACACAAATAAATATAACGTCTCAATAACCGAGGGTTCTTTCATGAACTATGTAAAAAACTTTTTTTTTTTATATATAAACTCCTCCCTCGACCCTATTGTAAGATATAAAATCTTGATTACTCCTCCCTGGTTTTTTGTTACGAGTTTCCGTAAATTAAAAATGTTTGGATACTTATTTATTTAATCAATTATTATTCTAGCTCCACTGCCAATTGCAGACAATGGATGTGATACAAAATTATTTGATCTCGCAAAATCCGTACACTGGATCGTAGACGAAAGCAATGACGGTCTCGGAATTTCTACTAAAAGACGACGAACACGCATAGGTGCTGATGACAGCGAAGATGAAGACTTACCACCGCCGCCTGCTAATGACATTTATCGTCAGAGGCAACAAAAACGTGTTAAATAATACGACAAATAATTATTATTAAAGTTGATTATAACATAAATAATATTGATTAATTAATTTTTGTATTCGGCGTACATAACACTTAATTTGTAATTTTAACAATAGATCTTAAGATCAAGTTGACGATTAACTAGTCGTTACATTAAAAAATTAATTTTTGTTTAAAAATTAATTTTATTCGCTATTCATTCTAACTACAATCTTTAAAGGCTGTTTAAATTCATGTGAATTGATGTTTTAAATATTCGTAAAGTCTTTAATTAAATACTGCCTTAATTATAAATAATTATTTTTGTCAAATATTGGTTCCTTAATTAAATTTATAATTGTAATTGAATAATATTTAAAAATAATTTAATTTAAGCTAGTATATTCTACGATTGGTGTATTTATATAATATATAATAATAATAATAATAATGTAAGAGGATAAAAATTGTCAAACTTGTACAATTTGTTTTGTAATTGTGAAATATTTGACAATTGTTGTATATAAACGGTATTTTTTTTTTTTTAATAATTATAAATATAATTTTTCCGTAAAGAAAAAAAAAATTAATAAATTTTTTCTAAAATTGAGAAAAGTTGTAAGCAAAAATAAAAGACATAATACAAAAATTATTGTTGTTATTTATTATATACTCTTAGTAGGAATAACTTTAGCCTTGTCGGGGTGATTCCGACCCACCCTTTTTACTCACGTCTAAATATTTTTTATTTTTAGGCGTACATTGTTACCCTGGCATGCTAAAGTTACCCCAATCGACTGCACTAGCACGATATACCCTCACCCACTGCGCAGGATGTCGATTTCTTTGTTCGAAAGATAAATATTAACATTTGTATATCAATTAGTTGAGTAGCTGATTGGTTTCATAGTTTTTATACAAGTAAAATTTAATTTAATTTTAAATTAATAATGAACTAGAATTAAAAAAAACTTTTCTTCATTTTTATTAATTATTTTTTATCTGAAAAATTTCTGATTTCATAAAAAAAATATCAAATAATTGGATAAGAACCCACAACGGAGTTCTATATGGAATTTGAACACGTAAGCAAGCAATTGAGCAAGCTCAATAATTTCTCGGTGACAACTGCAAGTTTGTCGGCAATTATAACTACTGGATAAGGGTGCAATTAAACTTTGAACACCATTTACAGTTTAGTTCTTCAAGCGAAGCGATCTATTGACTGCTATTATAGCTTCCACTATCTTACATCTTTGTCACTCTACTATAAATCACGTTACAGATATAATAACGCAGTAAATATTAATAATAAAAAAAAGAAATTAAATTTATAATATATGTACTTAAAATGAATAGTTTTTTATTTTATTTTTGAAGTACTAAAAAAATTGCATTTCGACGTTCTAATTAGCAAATTGTCTAACTCCATTTTAGAGAATCTTCCATTTGTACGAAAATACAATTAGAAATTTATTATCACTTGAATGATATATAAAAAAACCATTTAATATTTAATAAAGGTATAATATTTTGGTTCGGATCATTCAAAATTCAAATACAGTGAAAACCGCTTATAACAACATTGAAGTAAGGGACCTCCTGTTAATGGTCGTTATAGCCGATAGTCGTTATAAGTAAAAACTAGCAATGCATGGATTATATTCGAAAACAAAAATGCACGGATTAAATTCAAAAACAATACTTCATGAACATTTATTAAACTACACATAAATTAATTTATTAAACATTTTAATAAAATAGTTTTTAATAAAACTACGTATAAATTTCAATGCTACATTTAATAAACATAATTATTTTTGAAAAATTATGTGAGATTTTTCATTTATGTCGAAGACTTTCCGTTTTCTTTTTGACATTGTCAAAGAATTATTTTGCCAAAGAACGAAAGTGTAAGAATTATTATGACAAAGAACTAAAGTGTTTTGTACAACTTGTAAGACCATTAACTAAAATGAAAATTGTGATCCTCATTAATTTAAAGCTGCAAAAGAATTTGATGACATCATAAGTATATTTACTGCAAAATGAATGAAAGTATTTGTCAGACGCTATAACCGATGCATTTTGCTATGAGTTTACTACTATGAGTAATGTGAATTCAATTGCTATAAAGTAATAGAGACGGGACTTGAAAATTTCGTCGTAATAACCGGCAGGTCGCTTTAAGCGAAGTCGCTGTAAACGGTTTTGACTGTAATTTATAATTGGACTATTACTACATCAAAATGTTAGAAAATCACCCTCTAAAAAATAAGGAGTTAGACCAATTGCTAATTAGACCGTCGATTTGCTAAATTACTTTGATAAAACATTTCTATTTATTTATACTTGATATATTGATAGTTTTGTAAAATAAGTAGCTTTTTTCTTATTTTACACTGAGAAAAAAAAAATACTTTTACTCAATTAACAATTTCTTGGTTCGAGAAATTCGATGACGATCAAATATTCTATCATTATTAATTATTAATTATTAAGTTCTGAAGAGAAGAGCATCAATATCTTTGGATAATAGATAAACAAGAGAATAGTTTTATTTAAATTAAGTAAAAATTATTTGAATCAATTTAACAAGTTCTTGAACTAACAATGTATATTTTTGAAAATTTTCAAGAATATGAATTCTTGTATCAAGAAAATTTTCTTAATAAAAGTATTTTTTTTCTCATTGTAGTCTATCGTATGTTTTAAATAATAGATAAAAAGAAAAATCTAGCAATAATTCAAGCGACGTTTTAATATCCGGTTTCACAGCATTCATTAAAAAGTTTTAGAACGTGTCGATGAGCTTCGCAAAAATTAGTTATTGTTTTAAAAAATGTTTACAGAAACCTGCTACATAAACTTCTATGTAAACTATACTTCAAGATACTTTATTATTAATTTTGTCTTAGGAAATTTCTATGGATAGACTTTGCACCCTTCTTTCAGGCGATGAGACTTATAACTCAGCTATGGTCTAACAATATTAAAAATTTGTTTCCGCTTACCGTGAAAACTAAAGAGAAATTAATCCCAAGTTCACGAGGATTTTCGGGTTTAACTTTTGGCTTTAAACGAAGAAGAAATATATCTTAAATATTTATTTTATTACTCAGTTATAAAAAAATTAAAAAACTTATAAGTGATAAGAAATTATTTTTTTTTCTTCATTTCTTTTAATTTCTTCTTCATTTCTCGTTTCCGTTCCTTGTCGATCAAACTCTTGTATAGTTTATACCCAAAAAAGACTAAAAGCAACAAAAGTAGTTAATTAATAATTACGTAAGGATTATAATATAATAATTTATTTAACAGAAATAAATTACCAAAAATAACAGCAACAATACTCAATAAACTGAGTAACACAACCAGTTGAGAGAAGAAAGGTTTCCCAGCAGATGGTGCGCGTCCAAGCATTTGATCCATATTTGCGTTATTCATAATAGCATCTTGCAAATTAGCTTTTTCTTCATCCGACAAATTCATCGACTCGAGCATCTCTAGGAATTCTTCGGGTGTAGGTAATCCCTTATCAAATCCCGGAATGTTTGTGTCTACGTTTTTAAAATCATCTTTACCATTATAATTATTATTTTCATCTTCAACAACAGCGTCTTCGACAAAATTGTCACCGGCAATTTCTTCATTGTCAATTGCAGGCTCCGCGGAAACCGCGATTAAAGCAAATGCAATTCCAATCCAGAGTGACTTCAGCATTATTATACTATTCTCTTCCTTTTCTACTTTACTCTGCAATTACGTAAATTTCAATCAATATTCACTTTAAAACACCCTTTAATTATTTTTTATTTCTATCATGCTTATAAATAAACAACTTTATTTTAATTAACATAAATATACTACTTATTTAGAGTTAAATTACTTAAAATATTGTTTTATAACAAAAAAAAAGGTTTTTTTTTAATTTTAAAAATTAAAAAATTAAAGTACCAATAATTAACATAAATAACTTAAAAATAATTATGGATGTAATAAATAAATAAATAGAAAAATGATAAGTAATTTAAAGAGTTGAATTACTTGAAATAAATTTTATCCACGTAGCAGACACGTCAACGTTTTGATTATCACTGATCAGTTCCTTAATTCGTTGAGTATTAAATATCAAATTTTAGTCAACTCGTAGTTTTATCAGTAAATATATACTCACAAATACATGCACTTAAATACTCACATAATAACGTTTAGACCGTAACTTTTTAATATATATACTTGTATGTTTGCGTAATGTTAGGATTTGAGTTATTGGTTGAAATATATATTAAATCAGGTCACTTTACTGAACTTGATAAATTTAACATCAATTTTGTACAGTTTTAATTTATATGCTAATTGATTTATTTTATTCGAGTTTTAACTAACTATTATATATAAATTATGACTATAAATTTATTTAAAGTGATCTCCACATCTTTTTCCAAGTTTCATTGGATTTATGTTTTATTGCATTCAAAAAAATCATTATTTTTTTTTCTTTTTTATAAATTAACAGCGCATTCAATCGAAAATAATTACTTAGACATTCTTAATTTTTATTTTAGATTTCAGAAAATTAAATAAGCTTTATTTAATTACTAATACCAACTCAAAGTTCTTAAAATATTTTTAACTTATCAATAATTTTTTCGCACATTTTAAAATATTTTGAAAAAGTAAAAAAAATTTTAATCACACTGGTTGACAGACATTGGAAACTTTTTTAGAATTTTATAGCAATGACATTATTGGAGAAAAAAATTGAATGAAAATTTCCACGTGTGGGAGTTAAAAAAAATTATCAGAGGAAATTTTTATTATTTTAATTGATTTGTTATAAAAATTTTTAAAATTGAGAGCTGACAGCTAAATGACAATTAAATTAGCCGATATCTAAGAATTTTTAGAATTTGTTTTTATCGAAAAAATTATTAAAAAGAAATAAAAAAAAAAATTTTATTTGTAAAAAAACTTGAAAAACTGGAGGTACAATTTTTAAAAAATATTTTTTTTTTCTAATTTTTTCAATAAAAAAAATTAAAAAGTTAAAAACATCGGCTAACTTTATTATTATGACAACTAATTACTCCAAATATTTTAAGAAATTTTAGAATATTTACAAAGCTTCAAAATAACAAAAAGTCTTTTGCAAATCAAATTTTTTCGAAATTTTCTCTTTATTTATGGTTCTTCGAATTAAAAATTTTTATTCACCGTCAAAAACTTAAATTTTATCGTCTCTAACAACTGTAAAAAAATTTCAGCCGTCAGTGGCGCTGAGTCTCAAAATGTGGCGCCAATAAAAATTTCAAAATTTTTATTTCCTTCCTAAGCCGCTTGAGGCGCTGAAACTCGAGTTAGTGCTGCGTTATATGTAGCTATTCGTAGGATACTCCGGAATGCGCTCAGAATTCAGAACTATTCAAGTCCTCTGTACAATTTTACAATTTCAAACACACCTAGAAAAACAAACAATACAATTATTTATTTAATTAATTAATTACATTAAAAAATCAAGAGCCTATTGTGTGAGTATAATTAATTACCAAGCAGAAAAAAAAACATAACGTGCAGTGTCACGTTATAATAAATTTATGATGTGGTAACAATAATAATAAAAATAACAATAACAACAAAAACCAAAACAATGACAGCACAAATACATACTAACAGTTGAGTTGTACTGACTGGTGACTGTGACGATGTAACGAGAGATGAGAGTGAAAAGTACATAGGTGAGAGAGAGTATCGCGCGTTAGGTGCATACGTTTGATAGTCATTAGCATTCAATTGAAATAATATAATGATAATATTAATATACAACTTATAAAACTTATGAAATATAAGTATAATAATTAAGTTAACCGACATTTTTGATTTTGTTTAATTAATTAAATTATAACTAAAAAAAAATTTTTAAAAATTGCATTTACAGTTTTTTAAATTTATTACAAATGACATTTTTTGTTTTAATTTTTTTGTAGTAATTTTTTCAATAAGAAAAATTTTTTTAATTTTTAAATGTCGGCTAACTTTATTTTTATGATATAAGTGTATGTAATATTAGGAGTATCAAAATTATGATACTGAAATCAGCAAACAATGAACAATTTTTAGATTTTTTTCTTTAATTAAATTAAAACTAAGAAAATATTTTTAAAAAATTTCACTTGAAGTTTTTCAAATCTTCTAAAAGTGAAATTTTTTTAAGGATTATTATAAAAAAATTTTTTCAATAAGAAAGATCATAAAAGCTGTCAGATGTCTGCTAAATTCATTTATGAAAATAAAGTTAGTCGACATCTAAAAATTTTCAGAATATTTTTTTTTTTTTTAAATTATTACAAAAGAATTAAAAAAAAATTTCATTTTTGAAAAACTTGAAAAACTGTAAGTGCAATTTTTATAAAATTTTTTTTTTAATTCTCATTTAATTATTAAAAAAAAAATCAAAAAATTAAAAATGTCGGCTAACTTTATTATTATTAAATTCATTATGAAAATCGTTAGACAACATTTAAAAATTGGAATTTTTTTTTCTATTGAAAAAATTATTACAAAAAAATAAAAAAAAATTTTCATTGGTAAAAAACTTTAAAAACTGTAAGTGCAATTTTTATAATGAAAATGAAGTTAGCTGACATTTATAAATTTTTATAAATTTTTTATTGAAGAAATTTCAATTAAACAATTAAAAAAAAAATTTCACATGTAAAAAACTTGAAAAACTACAAGTGCAATTTTTTAGAAATATTTTTTTAGTTATAATTTAATTTAAAAAAAAAATCAAAAATTTTTAGACGTCTGCTAACTTCAATGTCGTGTATTTTTATAAAATATTTTTTTGTTCGCATTTAATTATTGAAAAAAAATTAAAAACGTCGGCTAACTTTAGTATTATAAATTCATTTTCATTAAAAATTACACATCATACATATATATAAATTGACACAACAAAATACAACAGATTAGTGGAAATAACTTTCGCGGTAGTACTACTTGTTACTGGTGCTAGTGTTTTGTTTAGTTACGCGCCGTGTAGACTTGTGAAGGATGTGTGGATATTTTTATGCGGTAAGGAGAAGAAAAAAAGAAAAAAAGGAGAGAAGTATAGTATAGGCGATAGGCATTTTACATTAAAAGTCGAGTCAAGTCAGTATAGTACCGGTGAAGGAGAATAGAGAATATAAGGAGAAGGGAGAAAGGGATTGTCGAATTCGGGCGTCTTCGTGCTCCGTACCACCGTCCCGAGACGACACGAACCTGCTCGAAAGTTAAATGCGCGGCAGAAGGTGTTCGCGCGTCGAGCTAGCAAGTTGGTTTTTGTGCTGCAGTCAGTTATTTGGCTTGTTTTTTTTTGAATAACCTAATTGTTGTGAATTTATGGTATCAACAGTGAAATAGACTCTCGATTGTTCGCATATTTTATATCATAATAAATAATAAAAGTAATTAATTTAATTGTTCGCGGTTATTTGTATTTGTAACGTTTTTTCACGGATCAGTGATTTTGTAAAGTGTTTATTTATTATTTATTGTAATTATTTTTATTAAATAATTAATTAATGTGTTCAACGATGAAGCAAGAGCAATCGGTCATGAGGATCATCGTCAGGAGTTTTGCGGTTTTACTTATCATCTCTGCTGTACAAGGTGCGTGATAGTGATTTTTTATTCTTTGCTTATACACTTCAAGGGATTTTATTTTTAATATTTCGTAACTTTGAGACGCCATGTGCCTTTTAATGCGCCATTATTTATAAAATTTGCCTTTTATGTATTTTACATTTTTTTATTTTAATATATTTTGGGTAGAAGAATTTTTTTTTAATGATTGAAAAAAATCCTGGAGCGATAATTTGTGAATACTAATTTTTTTATGATGAAAATATTAGTAAAAATTTATGTAAAAAATTTATTATACTCACGCGGGAGTCGCGTTGGACTCCCGCTTCGTATTCAAGTATTTTCAATTTAAAATAAATATTTAATTAATACAACAGATGTGGAAATTCGAATAAATTTTTTAGCAAGTGTAAGTGATACTAAAAATATTAATAATTTTTAAAAAGTGTCTCTTTACTTTACGCGTAAAAAAGTCCATGAAAATAAAGTTAGCCGACATCTAAAAATTTTTACAAAAAAATAAAAAAAAATTTTTTTCACTTGTTAAAAACTTCAAAAACTATAAGTGCAATTTTTAAAAAATATTTTTTAGTCATAATTTAATAAATTAAGCAAAATAAAAAAATCAAAAATGTCAGCTAACTTTATTATTATAAAAAGTCCTGATAAATCTACGACGCGTGAAAGTAAGGGCCTTTTATCAGGACTTTTTTACATGTGAATAGACATGTCCTATTTTTTATCACAAATAAATAAATAATTAAATTATAACTCTAAATTTTCAATGAACTAAATGAAGCCAAAAATGCACATATTGTTATAAAAATTTTCTACATGCGCATTGATTAATTTAATTTGAAAAATAATTATAAAATAGTTGCTACATTTATATTCAATACATATAAAAAAAAATCCTGATTCTATTAGCAAATACTTGACATTTTTTTTAATAATTAAAAAATGTCGTTTTTAATTTCACAGATGAAAAAATTCAAAATTTTTCTCTGAATACTTGATTTTATATTTTATTATCTAAAATGAAAGTTTCTCAATGTCGACTATTTTCTGTGATGAAAGTACAGCAAAAGAACGCG